TCTTGGTCATAAGATCCATGGTTTTGCCTAATCTCTCTTTTTTAACTATTCCTACCTTTTACCTTCCCAAAATTTGCAGTCTGATGGCAGTTCTGTCATTATTTGCAGCCAGATAGCACTTCTATCTTCAAGTTGTTTACTTAAAAGTGCTATCTTTTTATGTGTATTTATTTTAACTTTGCTTTATGATTTTTTCTTTCAGCAGGTCCTTATATTTACACTGTGAGAAATAATTGTTTCATGTTTATTTTCTTCATGATGTAAATTATCATAGAGCTCTTTTAAATTAATCAGATATTCACATTCCTTCTGAGCCAAGAGTCTTATCTCGCTACTTTCACATATTAAACTATTCTGTATGTCAAATCTCTCCTCCTGCCATGTACTCCATATCCTCCTTCAGGTGGGCTACCTCCGTTATTCAAAATGTAGACAGAGTGAAAGTTTACAGTGGCATAACAACCTTTTCCAATTCATTTTGCATTCCTTTCTCATTAATTGTTAACTCTCTCTTTTTTGTTTGTTTTGGTTTAGTTTTGCTTTTAACAGTATAGAACATTAACTTAAGGCTTTTCATGGACTGTTCCAAATAAATTACATTTCCAAGATGTGACAGTTAATTTAAAGGTTTGTTTAGATTTCCTTCTGAGAATATTGCTCCACACTCATCAACATGACCCTGATTTGCCATTTTATTACCAGCCTCCAGTCCTCTTGAGTTCCTTATGCGAATCTCAAGTTGAGCAGGGCAAACCTCAACCTCTCTGAATAGCGATCACCAACTTTTCCGACTTTCAGTGGATTACAGTCTGGGTATTGACCATTCCCTCTTACACTACTGGACCATCTAGTCTAGTGTCTTTCATTCATATATTTGGCTGATTCAAGAAGACTCAATATTTATGAGGTTTAAAATGAGGAAGCCAAGGTACCCGAATCACCCTATGCACAGAGCAAGGAATGGGCAATTGTCCTATTCCTAAGGTACCTTTTGCTGTCTCCTTTGCTCACTGCTGCAGCCAGAATGAAGTTACACAATATGGCTGAGCCAATCCAGCTGCTCAGGGCTGCTCAGACAAGACATCTTCCTCCCACACCTCTCTTCCCACATTCTTGGACTCATTGTACTGTTTCTCTCCTCACATACCAGATCTGCCAATTGTCTGATACCTCAAAAAGCCAATTTAACTACCTAGCCCACAAAAAGCTGTTTATTCACTTTCCTGTGTCAAGTCCCTTTTTCATCCATTTAAAAAGTTGAATGGTGTAAGCACAAAGCCTGTTGAAAACCAGATTTGGCACAAGGAAAGGGTCAGGAGTCTGGCTGGAGAAAGTAGTAAGACATCCTCACTTTTAAAGACAGTGAGCCATTAGATGAGATGAAGTCCTTTTTTGTGAACCCCCTCTTAGAACAGGTTAAGCTGCCAAGCTACCTTACCACTCAGCCAAAGGAGGTCTTGCTCCTTCCCCCTATTTCCAAGTTCTCCTTTGTTTCTTCTCTTTTTTCTCTTAGTATTCCTGGTTTTGAATCAGCTCTGGAAATCACACTGTCTGACTGAACTTTTCTGATCCTGAGGTAAGTCAACTCATCTCAGCAATCAGCCAAAGCAGAATAAACAAAACTTTTTTTTACTGGGTTTGAATTTGCATAGATTACATCAGCTTACAGGGAGATCAGATGAGATCCTGGAGACTAAGATAAGCACTGGAGCTGAGCGGTGGGTAAGTGAGGTGAGAAAGGGCAAGAAGGAGGACTAGAGTTCCCATTCCTTGTGGCATTTAAGAAGGTAATTTGAAACTATACCATAGACTGATATGGTTAAAGCTGGGTTCTAAATCTGAATTAAAAGTGGGGTTTAAAGCATATCTGTGCTGCAGTATTTTTGCAGAGAAGAATAAAATACTCAGAGTGACCTACTTTGGAAGACAGCAGGTAATACACAAGTGCTTATAATTCCCTTTCCTTCTACTTTAAATACAAGAATGAATTGTTGACATGTCTTTCTGAAGATCTCAAGATCCATACATATGTATTTTTTCCAAAAAATGAGTCCTGCAAAACAGACTGCTTGCAATTCATTAATTACTTCTCCTAGAGGGAAGATACTGTGATGGAGAACAACTTGGTGAGCCTGTGGGTGGCCAGCTAGTCACCTTTTAGCTTTTTGCATGCAGAAAGTATGATTAGAAGGTGATCATACCCAAAACTTGAGTGGTTTTTGCTTTTTATGTCAATGTGGCATGCTGGGAAGTGCCAGGGCCCTGGTCTGGAATGTTAGTACAATATTCCTGGAAGATCAGAGCTGCAGTTTAAAGAAAACTAAGGACGTGTACATACAGATACAGATAATTTGAGGCACTTTGGAAGGTTAAGGACAAGCTAACTGAACTGTTGTGTCAACACTGCCTACAAAATTAACCTGTCTCTCTGCAAAGTTTTGCTACTATTCTACCCTACCCAGAAACTAGCTTACGTGCTGGGGAATGGAAATTCAAGTCCCTTCTTTTAATAAGAGCAATATCCATGCATTTTTATGTGGTTTTGTATGTTTTTCTACAAACTAAGTAGGTTTTTTGCCCCCTATGTTACTTCTCTTTGGGTTCTACAGATTAATTGAATATTGGAAGAAAGTGCCTGTAGTCACTCCTTTATGGTGTACTAAACATCCTTTACTCTTGTTTTTAGGAAGGGGCTATGTTCCTCATTCTTAAGATTCTCTCCTTTATTACTCTGCAAGACTTTATCATACACTCACATACTTTTTTCCTGGTTTTGGTTAGACTAATTGTGAAAGTGCATAGACTGAAAGGCCTCTTTTTCCCTCAGTTGTGGGGAAAATGTCTGCTTATTATGCTGGAGCCCTTTCTATAACTCTTTGCATAGCTACATGAATGTAACAAACATTTTGATTTACTTGTGTAGAGGGACCCACATTGCATATATTTGGTTGAAATTGATTTTGCATTTGCTAGAGGAAGAGGAACAATTTACATGGTATTTTAATTTTTGAATAAATTAAAATTGTGAGATGACTTTTCAGAAGTAATAAAACCAGCTACAAATATCTTTGAGTTCCCATTTATTTTCATAATTAAAAGTGAATATTATTTTGTAGATAAAGCTATTTCATTTTAACTTCCCAATCTAAATAATTACTTGAATACTAATTATTTGCTAGGAAGTTCTACATTGATTTGATTTTTATACCAAATATGCCTTGAACATCTCTTAAGTACTGAAAAAATTTCCCAGTCCTTTGGATATAGGAAAACTCCCTCTTTGTGCCATATATAACTTGATTCAAAGCAAAAAGAAAGAATTCTATGGACTTAATGTGTGCTTATGTTCATAATGCTGAAATCTGACTATTTCAAACCTGCCCTGGCAGCAGGATAAGAAATCTGAAAGTTATTTTATTTCAGGTTCTCTATTTTTTGTGTGTGTGTTATTTGAATGAATACACAAACAAGGCTTCTAAGAGGCTCTGGTCCCTCTCTTTGTAGTTACAGTTCAGAGAATTCGGAGGCGTGGGACTGAACTGAAAATATGTGGGGTATTCCTAGAGCTGCCAGTAATAGGTAAACCATGAAACGGGCCTTTGCTTTGTTTTCTTCAGGAAAATTGAATTCTTGAACAAGGGAGGAAAGGGGAAATTTAGAAAAATACTTTTTTCAGATAAGCTCTTACTCTGGTAGGCTCCTATTTAATCATTGCCCCTGGTTGATAAAACAATTCCCTATTGTGCTGTTCCTTTGGGCAGCCACATAAAGAATCTGCCCTGCGAGGGGAAAAAATAAATGGAATTACTTACATCTAATATGTAGCTGTTAAATTACTACAGATATGAGAGGGCTACGGTGTGCTAGGGCTGTGCACAGGAATTCCCACCTGCCCTGGGACTTTCACCCGCTGGCATCAGCCTTTTGGGCACAATGGCTCCTCTTTCCCCTGCTCCGCTCCAAATTGGAGGGCGGGGGGTAGGAATAAAAGATTTTTCCTTCTGAAGCTTTACTCCAAATCACTCATTCCCAGAGGGTTGCTATGAACAGGAACCATGGTGTGTGTTCACTTCCCTTCTGGCAAAGCCAGTTTAGAATAATAACAAAAAAGGTCGTGGAACAGCTTAGTACGAATCCAGTCTTTCGTGTTGCTGCCTCGCTTGTTCTCTGCTAGGCCACATTTTCGAAGGTGTATTCAGTCTGTAAAGGCTTTCATGCAAATAGCTCGTTTACTTAAAAGTCCACGGAGAGCAGAGGGGCCACAGCGGTCTTTTCCCCTTCATCTTCCCCGTACTCGTTCAACCCCTTGTGAAGAAGTACCGAGGTACTGAAAAGGCAGGTTATTATGCATTGAGAACTGGTGTGGCAACTGTGGCTTGCCCTTCATTAACGTGAGTTTAAGCTGAGCGACTTGACCTGAAGTGGCTGGAGCCTCCCGGGGAAAGTTTTCAGGGCTTTTGAATGTGTGTGTGTGTGTGTGTGTGTGTGTGTGTGTGTGTGTGTGTGCGCGTTTTTACGGAGTTCCACACGGGAGCAAAGCCCCCTGTTCCCCATTTGCTGCCTGCTGCCCTGAGGGTGACAAGGCTGAAAGTTTAGCAAGTTCTGTGCATAACTCCACATCACAGGAGCAAGTGCGTATTCCCCCCCTCCCCTTTCTTTTTCCTGCTTCTAAACACCTCCTTCAAGTTCGCAGCTGGGCAGGACTCCAAAGGTGCAGCAGCAGCAACAAGCTGGAGTTCAAAGTTAGCAGTAAATTGCACAACTTCCAGCTCATCGCTACGCTCGGTGACTATTAACAAGTTGGAAGGCGCTCAGGCAAAAAAATAGGGGAGAAGGGAACACCCTGGAATTGTTTGGGGATCGCTGATGTTATGCCGCTGGGATCATGGCTCCTTTTGGAAGGAATTTATTGAAAACCCGGCATAAAAACAGGTAAAGTGCGTGGGAATGTGGAGGACCAGGTAGGGCGCCATGGGATGAATTATTTTTTAAACTTTTTGTCTGGTTCTGTGGGCAGGATGTGTTATCGGCAGCGTGCCGCTCCCGGCAGCCGAGCTGCGGGGCTCACCTGCGAGCGGCAGCCGGGCCGGGGCAGCGGAGGGCAGCGGGCCGGCGTGTGCCGAGGGAAGAAGGGGCTTTGCCCTTGCCCCCTCCCCCCGGACCTGTCGTGCCCCTCTTCGCTCTGGCTCTTTTGATTCCTGGGCAGTATTTTCCGTGAGCGGGAGGCAGCTCTTCCGGACTTGGAGCCTTCCCGGCTGAGCCGAGGCGAGCAGCGGCGGTGCCCCGCGCTGGGAGGGTGAGGCTGCCGGGCCGGGAGAGCCGGCTGCCAGCCCGACCTTCGCGTCCCGTCGGCGGCAGGGGGAACCCGGAGCTCTTCCCCCGCCCCGGCGCAAAACTCCGCGAGTTTCTCACGGGAGGGCCGGGCTCCAGGCCCCGCGCCTTAGCCCCGTTGCCCTGGGAGGTTGACCGGCAGCCTGCAATCCCTTCGGATCAAACCCGTGCCTTATCTTGTCCGCTGGCTGTCAGCCTGGGAGGTGAGAGCATCCCCCCCGCATCGAGCTCTCATCGTGGGGAGGCGCGGGGGGGATGTTTTTTTTTTTGTTTAGCCTTTAGTATAGGATGGACTTGTACTGTGTATACTTTTTTTTTTAATTAGAAACCTCTTCAGAGGGACTGTTGCGGTCCTCTGGTCTGCTACTGCGAAGTTTCTTTATGGGGACTTTGCCCCTTACGCTGTACATGCTTCCACATGCCCCACACGCGGGCTGCAAAAAGGAGAAGGAGGGTTATGTAATAATGTCAGGTGCTAGGGTGGTACTAGATTTTTTAAAGAGTAAATTTTCTTGAACCCTATGGAATGTACAGCGGCTGAGCCCAGGTAGCTAAAGCTGAACAGAAACAGGTCACTGGAATTTCGCTCAGTGAGAAACTCTAAAATCACTTGTAGTCTCATCCCCATTTCACCTAGTGCTCTTCACAGAAATTTAGTTTGTATTTAAAGGAATACAAAGATGATCTTTTCTATGAGGGATATAATTGAACTTTAAATAGTCTTGTAAAAACATGCTCTTTCTTTTCCATGTTTGGCTTTTGGTTCACACATTTGATATATTGAAAATTATTGGGGGGGGCCTTGTATTTGCTGGGATTGTGTAAAAATGTTAAGTTAGCATATTATATTGAATACAAATTATATTGTGACAGTCAATGTTTAAAAATTGAATACTATTTTAGAATTATTAATATTGTAGTTTACTGATTAAACAGCATATTTTCTTAATGTGTCTGAAAACAGTAAAACTTTGGTATAATTCTCTTGTGGCCATTTTTTGTTTAGAAGATCTAGAAAGGTGGACATGAACTTTTCTATGAAATTGCTTTCTTATAGAGCTGGAAAGTTATTACTCTTAAAGTGGATGTTTTGTTCCTACAATCACTTCTGTGAATAAGGATTAATTCACAAAGCACAGTTCCACTGTGTTCAACAGTGAAATTGTTTCTCTTTTGGGAATTTACAATATCTTCACACTAATTGCATCAATCTCATTATGTTTGCTGATGTGACACTTTATTCCTCAGGAAAAGAAAGTCATAATCCAAAGCTTTAAATAGGCAATAAAAATTAAAATACCAAAAGAACCTTTGCTGGTTCATCTAGGACTTTCTATTCATTTTATCCTCACATTCCCAGAAATAAATAAATGCCTCTAATGGCTGAGAGGTTTTGTGGCAATCAGAAGGGGCTGTGTGGCCACAGAAGTGTAGGGGGAGGGGGTCAAGAACAAAGCAAACTACATACTTCCTAAGATGTGTTATTATCTATTCAGATATTTAAATTTCTGCATATGTTATGTCAGCTTTGATACTGAATTTTGAGAATTAAACTTTGCTTATGCAGTTAGTAAAATGGTTTTGCAGCATGATTGAAGAGATACGTAATAATTATTTCTCATTTTAATTTTATCATGGTGAACTCATTTGAAATCTTGAGAAGTGAGCTTAAAATCCTTCATTGTGTTTAGGCTGGTAGTTGGAGAGTCAGAACTTGTGGCTCACTACTTTGTCTAACTACCTGTAAAGAAGGACCAAAAAGGGACATACACAAATGTATATCTTTAACCTGCTGCTGCTTTGTAAAATAGGCCTAGTGCTCATTCGCATTTTTGGAAAACTCAGCTTTTTCCTTTTTCTCTGGTAGTTCTTAATGACCATTTGCTACATGTAAATATAACTCCTGAAAGTTGTAAGATATGCAAATGAGGAATAAAATCTCTGTTTACATGAGTACATAAAGCTAAGTTGAGGTAACAAAGGTAGGTGGAAGGAGAGCCAGAAGGAAAATGAAGGCGTTACAGTCATTTGCTCAGATAACAAGATGACACTACTGTAATTAGTGCTTGTCTTGCAGCATTGCCCAGAGGTTCCAGATCAGGTCCCTGTTTAGTAGTAGGCTCTTCACATCCAGATTGTAAATTGTCAGTTTCTGCCCCTGAGACCTCAGAATTTAAACAAAGAGGTTACACTAACACTAACTAAGTCTGTGTCTGAGCAAGAGGCGAGAGACATTGTCCATTATGTCATGAGTCTTTAGAGAAAGAAACTAAGATTAAACCTCAGGAAAACAAAGCCTGTGCTGAACTACTGTTAGTATTTGAAAAGTCTTCATTCAGTATTACTCTCTTGGGCTTCTGAAATGTCACTATATACAGAGACAGCACAAAGCCCATGTAGCCTGTAGATCACTTAAGCCCTGGTTTGATTTCAAGGGAGTGACCTCTAGGATTGTGACTCCAGCATATGTTTCTTGTCAAGAAAGACACAAAAGTGATATTTCAATATCTTTTTCAACAGCTATAATAGTTTTTTACAGTATTCATTGTTCTTCTCTGACAACCAGAAGTAATCACAGTCTCCAGAATGTGTATGTGCTTGCACTATGTCCCCAGGAGAACAATACTTCCAAGACACCCCACCCACTTACAAACCCAAATGTGCACAGCAGGGACAGGTTGTACCCTCTAAGGCAACAAAGGAAAAGTGAAAGTTTCCTGCAGGACTAAGGTTTTGCAACATGAATAAATTCAAGGGGATTTATTTTTATGCAGATCTCTTAAAGATGCTTACTTTGAGCGTGAGAGGAATGCTCAGCTCATATTACACTACAGAAGTGTAGTGAAGGCAGAAATGCTTAGCTGAAGGTGGAGGAAGTGAAAAGGCGCTGAGTTCTTTGCTCATAAGGTCTAGTATTGATCTAACACGTTTCTTTGCACAGAGACAAAACAGCTCCCTATCCAAATATGAGAAATACAGAACATAGATAGTGTTTAGGTACCAAGGTTTCACATTGTATTCAATTTCCTGGTTGCTAAGCAGACAAGAATTTATGCTGTATTGATTTTCAGTAGGATTAAGACTTCTCTGGTCTTGGGTGCTAGATTTGATCACTTTTGAAAATGGGTCTTTAAGTTTATTTAAATACTTCAAGGATATCTGGGTCTATGTCACAGTGAGAAAACTGACCTCATTGCTATTTCTTTCATCTCAACCACCTCCTTGGGTTTTGCACATAAACCTTAGACAAAATTGTTGAATCTCTACTATTTCATTCATGTTGTAGCTGGGATCCTGAAAGGGAGAGGGTACAGATAATCAATCTTGATGCTGTAGGACTGTCCTGTTATGTTCAACACCTTGAGAAACATGTTTTGCTAGTGTACTTCATTCTGGTCCTATGTTTACTACAAAAGTTTTTACACTCTGTTGGCATGCAACAATTCTGAACACAGAGTAGTGTTTCATGATTAAACAATTGTGTTACAAATCTGTTAATATTTAAATATATTTACTGGTTTTGCTTTTCCTTCCTGTATTTTTTTTCTACCTTTTACTGTTTACTATTTTCCACTGTTTCCCACTTTTACTCACTGCCACAGGAGTTAGTGTTTCTCTGTAGGAGGGAAGACTTATCTTGCCTACTCTTTAATTCTGCTTTTCTTTAATCAGCTCATCTCTGGTTCAGAAGTAGAAAAAAACCCATGTATCTCCATTCAGTGTTATGGATAGAAGAGGGAGTTCTTCCTGTCCTGACAGTCAGAGGCCCCTCCCCAGTGAGAGACACATTCAATTATTCTGTCAGTTTATATATTACAGTGCAGGGTAGTGAATTAGATTAGAGACTTCATCTATCTGATACTGACTTTGCATTTCCATGATCCCTCCCTTTCTCCCTCCCTCCAGTAGTTTCTCATTGCATCTAGTTAGCCCAGTGATTTGTGTATTGCTCTGAACATCTCTTCTGCTCTACCTACGGTTGAGTACACCGCTGTACATTTTAAACCTTGATGAAGTAAAACTGAAAATGCTCAGCATTTAGGTTTGGACTGGTAAAGCTCTTGGAGATCACCTGCATATCTGAATGAACTGTGTATGACCCACACTGTAAGTCTTATGGGATCATGTGAGATATCTAATACTTCTCTTGGATGAGCACACCTGGATAAAAGTCTATGTGAAGCTATAAAGGTTCTTTTTGGTACAAGACTACGAAGTATTTGGTATGTATGTTGGAGAGGGTAGATAAAAGTTTTAGAATCAGTGGTGCTACTTGTGTTAAATTTTTAGATTGAAAAGATGGTGCTTGTTTTGTAATGGTAGAATGCATTCTTTTTACCTATTTTTTTAACTTTTCCCTGAGTGTAAGATGTATTAGTGAATTATCAAAGAAGTTGGTCCTTTTTGAGCCAGACTTCATACATTTTAATTTATTTTCTGGTCTTCCTTGGAAATTTTCTCTGGGGTCAAAATGGTTGCACACATTTTCTAATAATCTTTGTACATATTTGTTCACTTCACTTTCAGGAAGAGCTTTTTGTCTAGCAAAACACTAACCTTATTTCTAAAGAGTTAATTATCTACTATTCCAGGAGGGCAGGCAGCAATTTCATCCTGAAGGAGTAAATAAGACGAGTAATAGAAGTGTAATACTACACCATCTAAGAGCATGACTTTGGTTAAATTGAACCTAATCTGAAACACTAATATAGTGTAGAGTTAGGCTGAGAGATACTTTTCAGACAAAACTCCCCCTTTTTTTTAGTAAAACATTAAAAAGAGGAAAAATCTTGCTGGTCAGTGGTCATTTCCTATTTTACTGTTGAAAAACTAGTATTGTGCATGAAGAAAGACACATTCCTAAATAAGTAATTAATTCAGTAGACAGAAGTAAATTTTTAGAGTTGGGCATTTTAAAAAAAATCTATTAACTTTAATGAGAGTCAGTGATAATCACAGAGTAGTACCTCCTGATTTACCTCTGCTCAGAATAAAAAAGTTTTTTGTTTGTTTTATATGAGTAATAATAACAATTTAAAACTCTGGTCTGAAACACTATTATTTGAAAACATTAACATCTCATATGCTGTACAAGCCTTAATTAGTTCATCCAGCTTCTATATTTAGTATGTTGGTAAGTCCTTATTAATACTGACAGAAAGGATGATGCACTATAAAAATGTGAAGACCACGCATTAAGTGA